GCCCAGTGGTGGAGCATGTATGTGCCTAGCATGTTTGGGGTCTTGGCTTCCAACCCCAGGCCCTGATCCATCCAAGTTTGCTGAGCTCCCTGAGAAACAGAGTAAAGAGGGAAAACAGCAGACACACAGGCAAGATCAGCTGGATTCCAGGTGCTCCTTAGGGTCCAGTGCTGCATAAAATTTCCCTAGACGGCAGCTGCCCTTTCTCCAGCCTGAGGTCCAGCTCGGCTCCAGCTCAGTCCATCTGGGTCCTGTGGTGCTGGGTGCTTGGAGTCTCTCAATCAGTCTTGCCTTGTCCTAAGGCAAAACTCTCCCCTTGTGTGGTGTGGTATTGTTTTTTTGGCCCCTAATCCTTCCTTGTTTCTCTGACCCTCTGTCCTTGGTGGCTTCCTCCAACTTCAGCAGCTGTGGCAGGAAGAGCAATCACATCCCCAGGGGTTCCAGGCCTGTAGGTGGCCATGGACACTCATACCTCCCCTGGTGTTTGGGCCCCAATGCTCTTGCTTACAGGGGTCCTCACTGGGTTTCTCGGTTGTTGCACAGAAAACTGGAGGTACAAGGTGGTGATCACTCAGCACCCCCTCTATCTTCTGTTTTCTTATTACTGAGACAAAATATAAGACACACAAGGTTAAAAGAGGAAAGGTTTATTTAGTTCATAGTTCGTAGTGGTTTCAGTCCATAATCAGCTGGCTCCAAGGTGGGGTGGCGTGGCAGAGGGGCATTGCAGAGGAGAAATAGTTCATTGCAGGCAGAAGATAGCAAAAGCAAGCAAGGGAAGACCACAGGTCTTTCTGTCCTATAACTTATCTAGACTCCTTAGAGTGGGTAGCACTCATACCCTTAATCCCAGTGCCTTTGATTCTGGAATTGCACCAAGAATCAATCTCAGTGTCATACATTCTAGATACAGCCTCTCTGAAAAAACCCCACCTATGACTGCCTGAGGCTTTGGGGGGCCATCTAGACACAAGCCATAACACCCTCCTCCTGGCCACCTGGGCACAGCTATGGGGACCCAAGATGAAGGTCACATCTTATGAGAAGCTTGGTCTCAGCAGCTGGAGCATCAGACCTTGGGAGTGTCAGGTCCAGGGTCTCTGTGGACCCCTGTGTGTAGGGAGATGGTGTGGATTGCACCCTGTAGGCTGGGCTGATGAGGCAGGGGGTGGGAAGCTGGACCTTTCACACAGAGCTCCTGCCCCAGGGGGCAGATGGTGTAAGTGCCCAGGCTGTTAAAGGAGGGCCTAGGAAATCAGGCTGCAGGGACAGGGCCTCTCCCCTTGGAGTAGGGAAAGTAGTTTTCTTAACTATGGCCCTTCCTGTTCTTACCCCTCCACCTTTCTCTAGCTCATTCCATGCAGCTCCCGCTTGTTTTATTTCTGCTTTCACACCCTTTTCCAATTTATGTTCTCTCACTGTGTTTTATGGGTCCTCATTAAGCCACCTTAAATCCCATCAGGACTGGCATGGGAGGGGGGTTGGACAGTTTTGAGCACCGGGAATAAAATGCCTTAGACTGGCAGGGCTTGTGATGAGCTCCATACACTGCCTGGCTTCTGTGGGCTTGGGGAGGGGCCGCAGGGGAGGCAGGGGACTGGCTGTCTAAGGAATCTGAGCCTCCTCAGGCTGCCACCAGGAAATATCTGCCCATAAAGACATCTTTTATGGGGATGCATGCTAGGATTCTCAAATGAGCTGAACTCCGTAGCTCAGCTTGCACCTACAGCACCCCTGGGAATTGTCTGAAAGAAAGCTGTGGCCACAGGCCAAGGGCTACAGTGAGCAGCAGAGGTGCCTCAGATGAGAGATTAAGGGGGCCAGTGTCCTGTCCCATAGGAGGTCCTCCAGTGTGTTCCCTCTGCTCTTCATCCCAGGCGAAGGCCTCACTGCATGGCCCAGGCACTGCCTATGTCAAGGTGACTGCAGTGGGAGCATCTGCTCCCTCAGGGGACATCCACGTACACTAAAATGGGTGTGACTGCCATAGGTTGGCCCCTGCGTCTGAATTGTGCACTTTGTTTTCTTGGTACTGGGGGTCTTCCTCCCTCCACCCTCTCCTCTCCCTTCCTTCCTTTTTAGACAAGGTCTTGCTTTGTAGGCCAGGCCGGGCTTGAATTTATAATCCTCCTGCCTCCCAGAGGGCTGGGATTACAGGCATGGGCCGTGGCACCTGGCCGAGCTGTGTGCATTTGAGTAACATCCTGAGTGAACACTCCAACCCAATCCTGCTCCTGTAGGTGCCCTTGCCAGCTTGCTGGTGCCTTTCAGTGGACTTTACAACCTTGGATTCCTACCTCCAAGCATAACTGTTTGACATGTAGCCCACACACATGCACATCTACCCACCCCACACACATGCGTGCATGCCCTCTGCAAAACAAATCCACACACGTGGGCTTAGATCAGTGGTGGCGAACCTATGGCACATGTGCCACAGAGGGCTGTTTATATCATTTAAAGCTCTAAAAGATTCACCATCACTGGCTTAGATGAATTTAAACCACTCATTCTCTTGTCAGCTGTTTCCTGTGTGTGTTCTCTACGTCTGGCGCTGCCCCACACATAGAGAACATTGCAGGGAACAAAATGGGAAAACTCCTGTCCCTTGTATTTTAGCGTAGGGGACAGGCCACCCACAAGGCCAACCAGTAACACGTATTGAATGCCAGTTAACAGTAAGTGATGGCAACGAGCTTCATCGGGGAAGGGGTCCTGGGAGTGCAGTGGGAAGGGAGGCCGAGGAGACCCACAGCTTTGAGGCACAATGTCAGGGAAGAATATTCTGGAAAAAGACAGGAGAAGCCATGTGCACCAAGTGGGAGTGGAGTGGACCTGGCACGTGTGGGGGCAGCAGGGGCAGGCAGGGGTGAACCCAGGGAGAGAGAAAGGGCAGGTTGGGTGTGGACAGGAAGCTGAGGAGAATGGAAGGACTTTGGTTGTGGCCCCAGGAGGGGTCAGGGCAGAGGCCGGACAGGATCTGACTGCGTTTTAACAGGATCGTGGCTGCTGGTGAGGAGAGCATGCCTAAGAGGGACAGAATGGCACCTGGAACACTGATTGGGACACCCTCGAAGTCCTCTAGGGGAGGCAGATATTGCTGGGAGCAGGTGGCGGCAGACTGATTGGCTGACAGGATGGAGGTGGGTATTGGACAGAGGAGAGGAGCTGAGAGGGGTCAAATTTGAGTTTGTTTGGTTTATTTATTGAAGTAAAATTCCACAATGCAACTTTAACCCGTTGGAAACGTACTATTCCATGGTATTTGCTACATTTACAGTGCCGTTCAGTCCTCATCGCTATCTTGTCCCAACCCAGTTACACAACCCGGTGCGCATCAGGAGTCTCTCCTCTCCCCTCTGCTGCCCGGGACGCTGCTCACCTGCTCCCGGCACTGTGGACTGACCGGCTCTCACCTTCCTATAGAAAGGACTATGCAATAGTTGCCTTTTGTGAACAACTCATTGCACCTGGTGTAATGTCCTCTAGGTGTACCCATGTGGGAGCGTGTGGCAGGATTTCTTTCCTTCTCACAGCTGAGGAATATTCCACTGTGTACATGTCCCACATTCTGTGCATCCAGTGACAGCCATTTGTGTTGCTTCTGCCTGTGGACTCTTGTGGGTAGGGCCGTGTGAACATTCACGTACAGGTTGTGCTGCACCCCTGGGTTTGGTTCTCTGGGAACGTGTACGCCAGGGGTGGAGTGCAGGGTCCAGGTAGGTGTGGGGTATTCTGTACTCAGCTTTCTGAGGAACCGCCATGTTGTTTTCCATGGCAGCCGCCCTCTTTACATTCCCTCCAGCACTATAGAGGCTCCCAGCCCCACGTCCCTGCCAACCCTTGATGCCCATCCCAGTGGGTGCCAGGTGGAGTGTCCTTGGGGCTTAAGCACTTCCTGGTGACTAATGGAGTTGAGCCTTGTTCACGTGCTTGTGGGCGGTCAGGGAGCCTGGGTGTCTGGCCAGAGGAACCCGGGGAAGGTGTTGCTGGCAAACGCGGTGGGGAAGAATGTGGGAGAGGGCTCTGCAGGGCACATTCAGTCTGATGTCCCTGAGTGGAGAGTCCAAGCGGCAGCTGGCTGTGAGTCAGGGTCTCAAGGGGGTGGCCCGAGCTGGAGGGAGAAATGTGGGTGTGATCTGCATCAGCAGTTTGCCCCTCTGAACCTGTGGATGGAGTCGCTCTCCGCTGTCCCAGTGTAGGATTCCAGAGAAAGAACCCCGAAGGCCAGGGTAATCAGTCCAAGCATTGCTTATGGAACTCGCTTACAGAGCTGCAGTACCCTTGGGTGTGGGGAGAAAGGGGTGTCTGCCAGGTCTGTTGCAGGGTGGAGTGAGGGATGAGGTATTTGCAAGGGTTTAAGAGATTTGGCTCAAGACCAGGGCCAGTTTCCTTCTGTATTTTAAGCAACAACCTGGACACCTCAGTGCCCGGGGATGTTCCAGGCCCCCACTTGGCCTCACACTTTCTGGGAAAAGCCTGTGACTGGCCATGTCCTTGAGCAGAAAAGGCACTCTGTGATTTGGGGTCAGGACACAGAAAGAAAATGGGAGGGTTAGGAGACCTTCAAATATGGAAGTATGGAAAACCCCAAGGTGGAAGGTACAGGGTGGACCCCATCACTAGAGGGGCCGGGCCACAGGAAGACAGGGAAGGGGCCAGCAAGGAGGAGGAAAGTTGGGGGGCCCTGGCACCTGGAGGCCCCTGGGGAATTTCCAGAAAGGATGGGTGACACCGGGCGTCCCTCCCCACAGGTGTGGGACTGACGTGCACCAGGAGGAGACAGAAGGAGCAGAGGTAGAGGGAGACTGGAGAGCACTGTCCAGCGGCTTCGAGGTCCTGCTGGGGGTGGGGGAGAAGTAAGCGGCATTGGAAGGAGACTGAGGTCAGCGGAGAGGTCGTAAAGTTTAAGACAGGAAAATGAGAAGCTGATGGTAACGATCAAGCACTGAGGAGAAGCCTTGTGACTCAGGAGGAGGGACTTGGAGAGGTGTCCTGGAGCCCGAGAGAGGCCAAGGTTGTGGCCAGGAGCCTTGCGAAGCCCTCAGTGAGGATTCCCCACTGAGAGGGAGGTGAGTGGGAGCCGGTGGGGGTTGATGTGCATGGTGGGGGAGTGGTGGCTGGGGGGTGCCTGCCAGGGAGTGCAGCTGGCTGTGCTGTCCAGGTGACCCCAGGATCTATGTTTAGGAATGACGTGTTTCCTATGAAGCTGCATAATGTGCAGAGGCAGCTCTGCCACCAGAAAGCCACTGTTTACTCTTAAGAACCGATCCCTCTGTTCGGGAAGGACTTCGTGCAGCTCTGCTTCTCCCAGGGTTTCTCACCGGGGCCCTCTTGGTCTTCACACATGTCTCCACGGTCCACAAGCTCTTTACAGAAATTCTTCTTCTTTTTTTTCTCTTGTTTTGTTTTGTTGTTTTTGTTTTTCTCCGGTACCGGGAACTGAACTCATGACCTTGTGCTTGCCAGGCAGGCGCTTTGCCGCTGAGCTAAATCCCCAGCCCCTCTTTTTTTTTCTTTTGCAAGACTGGGCATTGAACCTAGGCCTTTGCCCTGAGCTGTTTCTTTTTTTTTTTGGTCTTTTTTTTTTTTTGAAACAGGATCTCATTATGCAGTTCAGGCTGGCCTTGAGCTCACTTTGTAGCCCAGGCTGGTCTCGAACTTGACACAATGATCCTCCCGCCTCAGCCTCCTGAGTGCTTGGATTACAGGCGTGTGCCCCCATGCCCAGCTTGCACTGAGCTGTTTCATCAGCCCTTTTACAATATTTTATTTTGAGATAGGGTCTTGCTAAGTCATTAAGTTGCCTGAGCTGGACTTAAAATTGTGATCCTTTTACCTCAGCCTCTGTAGAGTGCTGGAATTACAGGTGTGCATAGAAATTCTTAAACACTTTAAGAAGTTCTTAAACACTCCATTCTGGCCCACCTGGGTGACCTGCACAATGCCAAGGGATTGTGTGGTCGCACATGTTTGTGTTTGGGATGGCGCTGGAGTATTAGGCATATCAGGTAATGAGAACAGCACAGAGGCTGAGCTTCGGGTGTGGTTCCCATGGAAACCCAGCCATGGAGGGATAACGGACAGAACCTGCTGCGCCGTTCCTGAGCAGTGGTTGACTTAGTTTCAGCAAAATAACATCATCTCTTTAGTTAATTTAGCGACGCTTGAATTTTACTGGTCACTTTTATTTGTGTTTAATTTGTATATTTGTTTTGGTTTATAGTTCCAAAGAACTACAAACACAGCTCTTATATTTGTCTATATTTAAGTAAATTTTAAAAAGTTATTTAACAAATGTTGCCAGGAAACTGGAAATAAACATGCAAATGACTGAAGTTGAATCCTTACGTTAGATTCCCTATAAACGATAACTCAAAATTGATCAAAGAGCTGGGCATGGTGGTGCAGGCCTGTAATCTCAGAACTGTGGGAGGCTGAGGCAGGAGAATCACAAGTTTGAGCTCATCTGGGGCAATTTAGTGACTTAGCAAGATCCTTTCTCAAAATAAAAAATAAAAACAGGGCTGGGGCTAGGGATATAGCTCAGTGGAAAGTCTCAGAAGAAAATGTAGGGAAAATCTTCATGACACTGGATCTGGTCATGACTTCTTGGATATGACATCAGAAACATAAGAAATAAAAGAAAAAAGTAGAGGCTGGATGTATAGCTCAGAGATAGAGCACATGCTTAGCGTGCATAAGGCCTTGAGTTGAACTAAACACAAAAGAACTGTATTAAAAAAAAAAAAAAACCCAAAATTATGGTGTACCAAAAGATATCATCAACAAAGTGAAAAGGCAGCACACAGAATGGGAGCATATGTTTGAAGACCATATGTCTGATAAGGACATATGTTGGGATTTATATCTAAAACGTCCCCCAAAGCCTCATTTGCTCTGAGCTGGGACCTTTGAGAACGACTGGATCATGCGCGCGATAACTGGATCAGTGCAGTGATCGGATTAGCATGGCTCTGGGTGTGACTGAGTGGGCTTACTGAGGATTGAAGATCAACCCCGGGTGTGAGAGGCACCAACAAATAGGCTTACGGCCCGGCTCGAACAAAAAGGGAAAGGGGGATGGTCGGTTTTAGGTTATGTGTATTTCACCATGATATTTTTCAAAGTAATTTAAATCAGCCCTGAGAAGGAGTTCCCTAAGACTTCCAAACTGCCTGAGAGGTTGTGGTCTTACCCAGGACCTCTGGACCGAGCGTGTGGGTGGCTCAGCCCCTCCTCAGGTCTGTCTGTGGCTGCATGCAGTGTTGGGGTGAGGACACAGCTTGGGGCTTCCCAGGAGCAGGCGTGAAGGAACACCTGGTGTTCTTCCCTGTCCGTCCCTGGGAGGAGTCAGGACTCAGAGGACAGCCGGGACAGAACATTTGGGGAGCACACCTCTTCTCCTCTCCGTTGTGGTGCTCCCCACCTCCCTGGGATCCCTCAAGGGCTCCGAGGCTGTCCAGATTTTCTGCCTGGGCCATGATGGTCAAGTTCAGGTCAGGGTCAGCAGGTGGGAAGGCGAGAGTGCTCCCTTCTGCCGTTGCCCCGGTCAGTCCTGGCCCACATGGGTTTCAGAACTCAGGCTGTGGGGCCAGGCTGGGCAGGGTCCTGGGGAGAACAGCAGGGGAAGTCTGTCTTAAGGAAGCCCCTCTCTGAGGCTGGGATGGGGTTTCTGGTCCCCTGGGCTCTTGGGAACCCCACTCTCCATGCTCCTTAGCACCCAGGGCTCACCCCTTCTCCACCCTCCTGTCTGCCAGCCTTTTCCTCCTCCACAGTTCTTTCTGCTTTACCCACAAACACCACCAATGCCAAATCAGTGCCAGGAGCTACCTTTCCCACGGCGTCCACTTGAGCCTGTTCTAGCCTTATTGAAAACGTGTTTGAGCTGGGTGTGGTGGTGCACACGTGTAATCTCAGAACCTGGGAGACTGAGGCAAGAGGATC